ATCATTCTTTCTATCTCCCTTTTCAAAGCACGACAATCTCCAATGCTGTGCCCTTGGACATTAGAGCGGTACATGCACCATGCAGTAGGATCAAAACCTTTTGCATATGGGTCCGGAGTACAGCCGGGGAGCGGCTCAATCAGGCCAGACTATTTTAACTTTTCGAACAAGCTTGTGTAGGATTCTCCGATTTGCGTGAAACTATTTCTTTGCCTTTCTCCCCTCTATGCCCCTATTTCCTAAGGCTGTTGGGTGCTCGAAAATGTTGTGAAGGCGAAAGAGTATTATGCGGTGCTGGTGCTCGCCATAAGGAGTGACCCAGTGGTTGGACAGAGGACCGGATGTTGTTAGGAGGATAGTGCTGAGGTGGATTATGTGGAGCTTGGGGATAGGTTTGGGGTTGGGGGTCGGGGTTGAGACTGAGTATATTCGTGAGGCGGACCCGTTGAGCCCTGTCGTGATCCTAAGACAACCATGGCAACATCATCATGTTCCTTCTGACCCGGCAAGCTTCATGTGCCGTTCTGAATTGCTTGTGTTGTGGCTTTTAAAGCAGAATAGCTCATGATCTTGCTTGACTTCAGCCCATCTTCTATCCTTTCTCCCATTTTTAACACATCATTAAAAGGCTTACCCACAACCGAGATCAAATGCCCAAAATAAGTAGGCTCTTAAGCTTGAAGAAAGTACTCGACCATTTCGTCTTCTTCCATCGGGGGATTGACTCGGGCAGCTTGCTCTCTCCATCTGAGCCCGTATTCCCTAAGCTTTCATTAGGCCTCTTTTCCATCTTGGTGAGGGACAGGCGATTCGGGATAATGTCTATGTTGTACTGAAAATGCCAAGAAAAGGCCTGAGCCAAATCGTCCCATATGTACCACCTGTTGGCATCCTGGCGGGTGTACCATTCTAGAGCCGCCCCACTCAGACTCTGGCTGAAATAGGCCATTAATAATTGTTCCTTCCCACCGGCACCTCTCATCTTACTGCAAAATCCTCTCAAATGGGCCACGGGATCTCCATGTCCATCGTACAGGTCAAACTTGGGCATCTTGAACCCGATGGGCAATTGGACGTCAGGGAACAAACACAAATCCTTATAAGCCACACTCACCTGGCTTCCTAACCCTTGCAAATTTCTTAATGATTGCTCCAGACTCTTTACTTTCCTAAATATCTCCTCTTGCCCCGTGTTCTTGGGTGGTTTCTCAGTTTCAACATGAGGCTCAATGTGAGGAGTAGGAGTAAGGATCTGGGACTTTGAAGGTGGGTTCCGGGGCATAAAATTGGGTATCTGGAGCTTGGAATGTGGGCTCACTAGAGGATCGGTGGAGGGTAGCTTGTGGAGGGGGGTAAAAAAATAGGAGCATATATCGGAGCAGGGTATGCGGTTGTTTTGGCTGGTGGAGCATGGAAAATTTGGGCCGAAGTGCCAGGGTAATTGTGGTAAGGGGTAAAACCCGGTGTATGTTGAGGGGAAAGGTCAACGGTAGTGTGAACCTGGGCTTGTGATAATGGTGGGATAGTTGCAGGGTTTTCAGTGTAGTTAGGGAATGAAGGTGGAGGATGCCCCCTGATCCAAGACTGATACATTTCGGCCATTTGTTGTTTCAACCTTTGGACCTCCTCTTTCAATTCAGATTCCGACTCCACAAACTCCCTCGAAGGGTCAACAACTCCTGTGTCCAAGTCTTTGCTAGCCATGGCTACCTTGCTTTTGACCTTGTGTTGTATGGATGAATCGCCAAAGTGCCACAAACTAACCGCCCTCTGTAATGATAAAAATGAAAGTAACAAAGAGGAGCAAAACAAAGCCAACATGTTAGCGTTAGGAAATTTATCGGATAGAAATATCACATTGCGTTCAATGCCCCTAGCAACAATTAACGGTTTTAGAATGACTTCGAGGGTCAGAAAGTCATTTGGCATCATCCCAATTTTGTTCATTTCAATCTTCTCTTTTCTTTCTTTTGTTGCACTTCTTGGCTTGCTCATTTTTCTTCCTCTTTTTTCTTTCTGATAAACACTCTTTTCTTTCCCCTCACTTCTCACATCCACAATTTCATCTTTTTTTTCTTTTTTTTAACGTTTTACAAAAAATGATTCGATCGAACCCTATGTAGGTTGCCTACGTATCATGTCCCTCATGAATCAGATCAAGCGTAGTTCTGGAAAAGTAATGGACAAAATAAACTAAGAAACAAAAAACTTTTTGGATTTTCATTTACACCTTTTTTTGGTTTTCAAATACATCATAGGAAGTATGATAATGAGAGACTCGACAAATTCAACTATACTACGACAAACTATGACACCAACTAAAAGACTCAACTTTACTGGACAAGACTAGAAAGTAAAACATGAACAACACACTAAAAAAACATATAAAGTCTCCTCAAGCAGCTCCTATTTGCAATGGTCCTGAATGAGAAAAATAAGACCAAACAGATTAAATGACTCGAGACACTATGTGAGGCCATAACATACCCTATTGGACACATGCAAGTCACAAATGAGGTTGTTTTTGCAAAAAGGCATACGTAGCCAAAAGTGACTGAAAGTGCAAAACTCAATAAGGAAACACCTCAGAACGGCCTATATGGCCTTAAACATCAAGGAATCATAACTTCTAAAGTTACTTTGCAAAAATGACCCCATTTTGCAGAAATGGCCTATGTGGCAAAAAATGGCTAAGCATGCAGATCACAGGAAGGAACCTTAAAATTGAGAGGACACCTTGTTGTAGACTCAGGGCTCTAAGACATGAGATAACAAGCTACTTTGAGAAAATAGCCCTATTTTGCTAAAACGGCCAATGTGGCCAAATGCGGCCAAATTTGGCTAAACATGCAAGATTTGGCTACGACCCCGGAAGCCAAGAACCTAAGACTCACTAGGAAGACCGGACCCTATGTGGGCTGCCTACGTATCCCGCCCCGAAAGACGAGAATCAGGTATGCGTAGTTTGGGAAGATTAGATACGGGAGAGAATTTTAGAAAAAATACTGATTTGAAGAAAACACAATTTTTTTTTTTTGAAAATATGATGAAACATGTAAAATATTTTTGGATTTTCTTTTTTTCTTTTTTTGGTTTTTCGGAAAATTATGGGAAATTGCAAAATGTTTTTGGATTTTCATTTTCATTTTTTTTGGCTTTTCTTGAAATAATTGTGAAAGAAAAATATAACCGGGCCCTACTTGCTTCATTTCTACACTTCACCCTCTTTCCCAAACATCAGTCTGCCACATGACCTTTCTACCCTCAAAGATGCAACATGTATCACATAGGGATGATTGAATGTCTTTTTGGGCCATGGGCCCATTTCATAAAATTTGGATAGGCCTCCTACAAAGGGACACGGTACCTTGGACCGAGCCGTGCTAAGTGTAAATGACATGATGCAAATAAGCATGACCTAAAGGCTGACCTAAGTTTGGGGTTCACTAGACAAGGCAATTCGGGGCGGCACATAGTCGATGGCGACTGCTCTAGCTATCCGCCCGCTCCACGCTCCCACGCCACCCCCCTAAAGACACGGGTGACTCACAAAAGGGCCGTGTACGCTCAAACGTACTCCGGAAGACTTGTTGCAGAAAGAAGACCCATGGTTATGCAAATGATGACAATTTATAAAGCAGTAAACACATAATGAAAAACGATAAACAAATAACCACCAAAACATGAAATAAGACAAACAAACCAAATGAACAAAACAAATAAAGAAAACAAACACCTCAACCGAATATCCTAAAACCCAACAAGATCAAGTACCAGCTCGAACCTGCAAATCCCCAGCGGAGTCGCCAGAGCTGTCACATCCTTTTTTTTAAAACCTTACTAACCCTCTTAAATAAATAAAAGATTTGTAAAGCTTAAAAGGTTTTTCCAATTAGAAAGTGACAAAATTGTGTTCAAAAGGATTTCTCAGAGTCGCCACCTGACATTGGTTTCGGTGTGCCAGGTCACCGTTTTTAAAAATAATTTTTCCTTTAAAATACTTTGGACTCCAAAACTAAGTCTGCACTAGAGATTTGGGTAAGGGGGTTCATTTGACTCGGGGTGAAGGTGTTAGGCACTCCCCAAGTCCCGTGAAAGTCACGGTTGCGTACTCGATCTAATTGGCTTGTAAAACATTCAAATTGAGGTAAAATCACAAAAACGGAAAATAAACACAAAAGAGGCTCGAGGCAAAAGATACTACTTGCGGCCTCCAAATACAATATACTACGGGGCATACCCCGGATAAAATATATACAAAGTCTACGGGGCATTCCCCTGAATATGAACTACAGGGAACGACCTTTCGCCTCAAATAAAATGAAGAAAACCTAATGTTTGCCTACCCGAATGATGACGACCTAAGCATGCTCCTATTCGAAAAGTAACTAAAACAAGGATAAAAGAAGAATATTATTATCTTGAATCAAAATTTTCTTTTAACCAGCAACCCAATTTCTATACTGGAATGAAATCATGTTCAACTATAACCGATTCGAGTAAACACGAGCAGATAACTAAGCGAACAAATTCAAAACTATGGAGAACAATTACATAAACAACAAAATCATAACACCAAACAAACAATTAACATGAAGCTTGAATAAAACGAGTAGAGGATGAAAGAATTGGACCTCAATATAGCCGGAAAATTGATTGTTTCACTGTTTTGAACTAAAAAAATGTGACGAACCGCGGACGGAACTCGAATTAGCACCAGAAAGCTGAAAACTAGATAGAATCTTGAATCGTCACCAGAAACTCAACCAAACCCGGATTCAAACCCACATTTTAATCAAAAATCATCCAAAAATGAAGATGACTGCAAAATCGGACCAAATGAAGGACATGGAAACTACATACGAAGCGCAGCCAACAAAACAAACAACAATCTCACAATCAAACGGTTCTAACAACTTTAAAGTTGTTCCAAATCCTCTGTTTCTGTCCCGTTTTTCTCTTCTTTTTTTTTCGTTCGTTCCTGCCCCTGATTTTCGCTGATGTATCGTGGCAGTGAGTTGTTCAAATGGGGGGAGTTGCGACTGTTCCGGGTGGTAGAGGCGGATGAGGAAGGTGAGATATTAGGGGTTGCTGTGTGCGAGTGTTTTTCGGCAGGCTGTTGTGAATGGGAAGAAGCAGAAGCGGCGATGGATGGCTATTGTGTTCGTTGCTTCTATGTCCGGCGGCGACTGAGGAGTTTTGGGGTGGTGCGGAGGCTGGATCTTGTGTGTGTTGGTGGCGTTAGGTTGCTCGTTATTGGGGTGAGGGAGTTTGTTGGTTGGTTGACGTGAGGTCTGGCGGGCGGCGATGGGTGATGGCCGGCGGGTTAGAGGCTGGTGGCGGCTGTGTGTAGGGTTCTCTAGGGTTAGGGATCTTTTGGTTAAGAAGAAGAAGGTAGGGTTAGGATGGTTAAAGAGGAAGGGGAAGTGGGTTAGGTCATTTTGGGCTTCAAAATTGGGCTCAAAGACAAAAAAAATGGGCCTCTTTCATTAAAAATGGGATAAACCAACCCAAAAACTCACTCTTCCTTCTAAAAATGATATAAAATTTATAATATGAAAATATAAAACTAATCCTAATTAACTAAAATAAACAATATTATACTGTGACCCTACTTTGGTATTTTCTCAAGATTATATAAATATAAAAATCCTAATAAAATAGTATGACTACAAAACATTAATGAAACTATTTTTTTTGTAATATTCATTTTTTGTTATAAAATAAAGTAAAATAGTTATAACTAGTTAAAATAGCGATATTAGGCCTAAACTAAATAATTAAATGCTAAAATATGTAAAATCTTAGGGAGGGTCAAAAATTACATGTCTACATCATCTTCTGGATATGTGAGTTCTTAACAGGCTAACACTCAGCCCCATACATCATGGCCAGTCTACTCACTGCTTTATAGAACTTACCTTTGAGTATCGGTGGCACTCTCTTGTCACATAGGACTCCAGATGCTAACCTCCACTTCATCCATCCTGCCCCAAAATGGTGTGTGACATCCTCGTCGATCTCCCCTCCCCCTGGATAACCGACCCAAGGTACATAAAGCTGCCTCTACTTAGGATGACATGTGATTCAAGCCTCACATCCGCGCCCACTTGTCCCGGATCAGCGTTGAACTTACACTCCAGCTATTCCGTCTTTGTCCTGCTCAACTTGAAACCCTTAGACTCAAGAGCTTGTCTCCAAACCTCCAGCCTCTCGTTAACACCGGCTCGCGACTCATCAATCAGAACTATGTCATCGGCGAATAGCATGCACCACGGCACCTCCCCTTGAATATGGTGCGTTAACGCGTCCATCACCAGGGCGAATAAGAACGGACTGAGCGCAGAACCTTTGTGTAACCCCATTACAACCGGAAAATGGTCAGAATCGCCTCCAACTGTCCTAACCCGAGTCTTAGCCCCATCATACATATCCTTAATCGCCGTAATGTAGGGAACCGACATCCCTTTTGCCTCCAAGCATCTCCAGAGAACTTCTCTAGGAACCTTGTCATACGCTTTCTCTAGGTCAATAAACACCATGTGCAGATCCTTCTTCCTCTCTCTGTACAGTTCCACCAACCTCCTAATAAGATGTATGGCTTCTGTAGTTGAACGACTCGGCATGAACACAAACTGGTTGTCGGCTATAGACACTGTCATTCTCACCCTCGCTTCAACCACCCTCTCCCACACTTTCATGGTATGACTCAGTAATTTGATACCCCTATAATTGTTACAACTCTGGATATCACCTTTGTTCTTATACAATGGGACCACCGTACTCCACTTCCACTCATCCGGCATCCTCTTCGCCTTAAAAATAACATTAAACAGCCTAGTCAACCACTCCAAACCTACTCTCCCCACACACTTCCAAAATTCTACCGGAATCTCGTCTGGCCCGGTCGCTCTGCCCCTACTCATCTTACGCATAGCTCCCACGACCTCCTCAACCTTGATACGCCTGCAGTACCCTTAGGTAATAGAAACTTTTAAAAAAAAAATTTAAAAAGAGGGAAGAGCATTACTAAATTTGTAGAGTGCAAAACTCCATTTACAGTAATGTGACTCAACATGTATTTTATATTCTAACTTTCATCTTGAATTGCATCAGACAAATGGTATTTTACTTTTCTAAACTCATTTTCTAACTATTTCTGAATAATTGTCAGAGCGTTACAGAATGATTTCACGGGAAATATTGTAAATCTTGAATATATTGCTGAAGGAATTGGTGAATTATGTCAGTGGAAGAAAATGATGGTACATCAAAGACACAACGGATCATTATTTTAATTTACCATCAGCATGATGAAAAATGCTTTGGATACTTAAATTCAATCTTGAAACTACACAAAAATTGGGGTATGTATATATACCATCATCATCTCAATATCCATATGATTATGCGTCTAAGAATTACTCTCTCCTTCTCAATTTATGTGATAGAGTTTAACTAGACATGAAATTTAAAAAAAAAATCCTTTTAAAAATATGTGGTCTAAAATAAGTCATAGATATTTTTGTTGCTATTAAATATCTTATTAAGCTAAATATAGAAAGAGATGATATTCTTTTTAAACAAACTTAAAGGAAAATATGTCATATAAAATAGGACAGAAGGAGTACTATTCTACTTGCAATTGGAATAGGATTGCTGTCAAAAGTAAAAAGTACAAAGGTAGAAATGTCTTATATCTCTCAATGATATATGTGTTGTTGAAGTGTGTGAAAATCGCATATATCAAAGCAGGCAAAGGTTTTGGGTCAAGTCTTGAGGTCATCGCTCGTTGAAAAAATTGTTCATGCGCTTGGCTCTTGAAAAGAATCAGGTCAGTGCGTAATGGGGCGTGTACAAGATATAATTATTTGAATTAAAACGTGCTCTTATATCACACACTTTTTCTTTGCTAAAAAAAGCATTTTTATTTAGTGATATTAAACTATCACACACCTCAATAACCGGAGACCTCTGCATGTTGATCATATAGTACTATAATTCTACTACTGTTGGCTTTGCTAACAAACTTCATATCTTTTCCCTTGATGTTCTTATAGTTCCCACAATCTATCCAACGAAGATACATTCACTTCTTTGCTTGGTTGATACTCTTCAATGTCTGGGAGTAGATCGGTATTTTAACACCGAAATAAAAAATGTTCTGGATGAAACATACAGGTACAAGTAATTGATCAGAGTTATGGATGTATTTGATTTGAAGGAAAATATTTTTTAATTTTTTTTCATGTTTGGTTGGCTTAAATGTTATGGAAAATATTTTGCTCGTGAACTTATTTTTCTTCAATATCAAGAGAAGAAAAAATATTTTTCCAAAACTCTTTTTCAACTTTCCACACCATATTCCCTATCGCCACCAACTCCCACCCCACACCTCCATCACCCCCTACCCTGACCCCGCCACCCCACCCTCCCCACCCTACCCCGAGCCCCACCCTCACCCTCACCCTATATAGAAATATTAATGAGTTTTTTTTTTTCATTGTATGTAGAAGTATTTTTTTCA